CAATAAAATCATTCCAAAATATTGAAAAAGTACAAAAATATTCGTATTAGATCAATTTACAAAAGTTACAATTATGTACAAGGAATATTGTAAGAAAATTCAATAAAATACAGTTCCAAAGCAAGGTTAAGCTAAAATTAAATGAATGAGTTGGTAAAAGATCATAACAATTAATGCCTCACTGTTTGTAACGAAATTATATAAAGAGGAAAGTCTACTGATAAATACATTTGAGTTACATTGACTCTACCCTTTTGAACAAAAAAAATAATAATGATAATAACAATAATAATAATAATAATAACAATAATTATAATAATATTAATATTAATAATTATTGTAATAACTAAAAAATAAATGCCGAACATCATTTACGTACATTTTTTAAGTAATAATAATAATAATAATAATAATAATAATAATAATAATAATAATATTAATAATAATATGATAATGAATTATAATAATAAAAATAATAATAACAATTATTATAATAATATGAATAATAAAAGTTAATGGTGTGACCTACTCAACGTGTTAATGACGTCACAACATTTCAGAATTCCTATATTAATCAATAAATCTTGTTCAATAATTACATTCTACAAAGAAAGTATTGTATTTAACATCCTATTTTCATGTTCAACATCCTATTACTATGTGTATTTGAAGTATCTCTTGTATTTGAAATTGTCAATAACAGTTAAGCCCCCAATTTTTTTACGTCACCAAATATAAATATTTGTCAATGGAGCATTAAGCAGTGACTAACCGAGATCAATAGAGGTCGTTCTTTATTATGCAAATAGGTACTTCCGCCCAGTGAGCATTGTGACAATGTGTTTCATTGTACAGAAGTGTGAGTGCAGTGAACACACATGTTTAGTCAATGGAAAGGGTTACTATAATTCTGTCTCTTATACACATCTAGATGTGTATAAGAGACAGGTTCCCTGGTAATACCATGGAGGAATAGGCTTTATGGTAATACTTTATAATACAGTAATATACTTTTACTGCTGTAAAGTAATAATTTTGTATTTTTGAAAAAGTGTGTAAAACATGAATGAAATAATATATTTTAAGACTGAAATCAGCAAAAAAAAAACAAAAAAAAAATTACTTAGCCTCGGCCAGAAATAGTTCTTACCAATCAGTCTTGCAATTTTGTTGCACTAATGAATATCATAAGAATAACTACCGGTACTTCCTTGAAATTAAATAAATTTAAAAATTTAAATATATTATAAATTAAAATGTATAATTGAAATTATATATGAGAAGGGAGGGGGGATGGGGCAAAAGTCCGGGGGAAATTGTCATAGGGTCAACAGTCAGGATCGAATAAGTCACGGGATGGGGGTGGCAAAATGTCCTGGTGGCAAAACACCGGGGGAATGTGTCCGGGGAGAAATGTCCTGGGGACACCTGGTTAGAAACATATTTTATATTATCTAAGCTGTACTGACAATTCAGTAGTCTGCTTTTACGATGAACACTACTACTACTACAAACACGATGAACAGAGGACATTAAACTTGTCTTTACTATACGAACACTACTGAATTGTAATTTACGAAATATTAAAATTCCAATACTACCATACGAATAATAAAGATTTTTGAGATAATATAGAATAATACAGTATCATTATTAATTAAAACATAAAGGGCATCATTATTCGCTTCACATTTGAAGGTTCCGGTATTACACGTTAGGTGCTGAAATCTCAAAATTAAGAACTATATATACATATATAAAAGATATATAAAAAAAATCTGCTCAATCACTGAACAAATACATATCGATTGATTGTACGACGGACATCAACGAAAAAGGAATGATGTACAGAGATTTTGAAAAGCCTATTTATTTTTCTGGACTATTAATAGGACAGGAACAATTACATCTAACTGATAATGTTTCGACTGAAAGAACACAGGCATAGGCATAATGATTACAAACATACATAGGCCTATATACATATATATCTGTCTCTTATACACATCTAGATGTGTATAAGAGACAGTCCTCATTCTCTTTCAAATTAAGTAAATGCACCGGCACTTGAGATAATTTTGTGTCATTGTCTAAATATGGCGATGTAAGCTTCGTGCACTATTGTGGTAACGCTCGATAGATGACGTGTAGAAATGCATCCACTTCATATCTGTACATGAGATGCAAGCAAACATCGTTTTGGGGAAAAAGGCAGAAAATACAACAAATACAACGTTTGTCGGGCAACATGACTGTATATGTTGGACAAGCGCGTGTTCATGGCACTATTCTGATTGGACAGTTAAATTTGACTGACACTACGCCGGAAAGGTCCATTACAAAATGATCAACACCTTCGTGTTTCTATAGAGGCAGAGAGCGGCTGTGGCCTAGATGACTTCACGCTCGAGTTGTTCGGTTCCCCACCCAGTCCATTCATTAGTGCTAGGTAGATTAAAGCCAACAAATATCGCCTAAAGCTTTACATAGCAAAGTATTAATTGGTAAATGCCTGTGGTACACTCCGTAGATAAGACATTTTTTGTGTTGGTGAGAGATATACACCAAAACAATGGCTCTTCTAAAACCATTCACAGGGTCTACCACAGGTATTTTTAGTGGTTGCTACTTTGCTATGTAAACCATTATGCGATATTAATTATAGCGTTATTCTCCCTTTTCCTCTCATCACCAGTACAGTATAAAGAACATGGACTATTATGATCAATCAGAAGTGCCATTTAGCTATGCTTTCTGATCGTTTGTCTTGGAAAAAAGTTAAAAACCGTGACTTTGTGACTCAAATTAAGGCTTTCTTATCGTTATACATGTCACAGGAATATTGACAACAATAACATTAATTATTATCAACATTAATATTGATGATAATAATAATAATAATAATAATAATAATAATAATAATAATAATAATAATAATAATAATAATAATAATAATAATAATAATAATAATAATAATAATAATAATAATAAATATTTTATTATTTTTTTTTAAATTTCATTTAACCTCCAACATCGAGAACGCCAACAGGGAGCAAAGAGTAATACAATATAAAATCACTATAAAATCAATAGAATTCACAATAAAATCATTCCAAAATATTGAAAAAGTACAAAAATATTCGTATTAGATCAATTTACAAAAGTTACAATTATGTACAAGGAATATTGTAAGAAAATTCAATAAAATACAGTTCCAAAGCAAGGTTAAGCTAAAATTAAATGAATGAGTTGGTAAAAGATCATAACAATTAATGCCTCACTGTTTGTAACGAAATTATATAAAGAGGAAAGTCTACTGATAAATACATTTGAGTTACATTGACTCTACCCTTTTGAACAAAAAAAATAATAATGATAATAACAATAATAATAATAATAATAACAATAATTATAATAATATTAATATTAATAATTATTGTAATAACTAAAAAATAAATGCCGAACATCATTTACGTACATTTTTTAAGTAATAATAATAATAATAATAATAATAATAATAATAATAATAATAATATTAATAATAATATGATAATGAATTATAATAATAAAAATAATAATAACAATTATTATAATAATATGAATAATAAAAGTTAATGGTGTGACCTACTCAACGTGTTAATGACGTCACAACATTTCAGAATTCCTATATTAATCAATAAATCTTGTTCAATAATTACATTCTACAAAGAAAGTATTGTATTTAACATCCTATTTTCATGTTCAACATCCTATTACTATGTGTATTTGAAGTATCTCTTGTATTTGAAATTGTCAATAACAGTTAAGCCCCCAATTTTTTTACGTCACCAAATATAAATATTTGTCAATGGAGCATTAAGCAGTGACTAACCGAGATCAATAGAGGTCGTTCTTTATTATGCAAATAGGTACTTCCGCCCAGTGAGCATTGTGACAATGTGTTTCATTGTACAGAAGTGTGAGTGCAGTGAACACACATGTTTAGTCAATGGAAAGGGTTACTATAATTTGTATGACTGTATTATTACTATTTTGTTTGACCTACACTTTACTTATCCAATGATATAATTATGTTGGGAGTGGTTGGTTTAATTAATGTTTCATAAGTATTCAAATGGAAACATAAACATAATTAACCTCGTAGTTACAATAATCGCCATGCAAACTTACATTAAAGAATATAGTGATTATTAATTAAAGCTTCTCCCACAATTACATATTCATAGTATTGTTGCATACAAGTTCATTTTGAATATATTCTTTGATAATTTCGATGCATGTTGTATGCACCATTGACAATACTTTAATTTGCCTCTCACGTTCTGCCGTTTTTCGCTTTGCTGTCGCATAATCCGAACTTTTTTTTTCAAATACTATAATTGAGTCTCGCCTACTCGATCAATTTTTGATTTCCTTGTATCCATTGGCATTTATTTTATTCTTTTTTATTAATTAATTTATGTAATATAATTAACGGAGATAATAAAAAACATTTATATGTAATTTTTAAACTTAACAAAATATCAAAACCATCAAATCAATTGATTAAATAGGCATTTCAAAATCATAAATTGTCGAAGCTTCTATCATGGGCTACCCCCTAGACCATCTCGAGAGGTTTCTGAGTGGTCTCTGATCATGTCAATTAAATTCCCATCATACACACCGCCACCTAACCCTGTTGGTGACATCAGTTGCCTCCCCACCCCTAGCCCATCGGGCATATATTTGTGCCACATATATCAAAATAGTCTAAAATTGTGTCAAAATAAACTATATTGAAAATAAAAAGATAAGCAAGATAAATTTTTTGATTGAACTGTTATAAATTACATACATCTAACAAAATTTCAAGGAATGTCAGATATGTTTAAGAGGTTGTTGGGGATGTCGCTTACAGGTACAGAATTGTTCCGTACCTGTCACTAAACGGGAATATAGCCTATGTTTCTGTGTCCCTTTGTGTGGTCAGTACACTAATCGTTACAATACGCATTTTTTTTAGCTGTGGTTACAAAGCGAACGCTGCTATTGGTCGCAAGTGCAACGTTAGTCAGCGGGGTGGAGCTTTCCGCACCATTATATATTGATCGTTTCTCAGCTTGGGCTGGTACTCATCCTTTGTAGACGAACGGTCCAATATTACTAGTTTTGGTAAGTTATCATATTTTATAATCATGTATATAAAATTGTCGTAATGTAATACGAATAATACAGGAGTACGTACAATACTGAACCATGTAATTTATATGTAATTTTGATTTAGTTTTTAGATTTTTTTCCTTCTTTAAATGGAAGTTGAATTTGTGTTTCATGTATATTTAATCTTTGTAAACATCATAGTGAATATTTTTATTACAGTCGGCCTAACTGCATGACAAATATTTAATCGATTACCTTAAAATAATTCTTTATTATTATATTATTTTAATTAATAGTATTATTATAATTATTGTTATTACTTTTATTATTATTATTATTATTATTATATGTTTTGTGGTAGTAGTAGTAGGCCGTAGTAGTAGTAGTAGGCCCTAGTAGTAGTAGTAGTAGTAGTAGTAGTAGTAGTAGTAGTAGTAGTGGTAGTAGTAGTAGTAGTAGCAGTAGTAGCAGTATCAGTAGCATTTTTTCCAGTTTGTCATGACAAAGAACAATTTATATTTGTGAGAAGTGTGACGAATAACTTGTGTGTGTATGTCTGCGCACCTGCTATTCGATTTGAGCGCGAGAACCAGTATTGATCGGACCGTTCAACTTAATTTCTCAGGCTTCATAGACATTAATTAGCGATATAATAGGATGGCAAAATACTCATTCGTAATATTTCTTTTTTTGTTTGAATTATCTAGTCACAATGCACTGCATTAATATAATGAAATGAAATCGTTAAATAGTCAATAATACAACTAAGAGTGGTTGTTTCAATGGTAGCACCGCATGTTTACGAGAAGTGTTTTTGTGTCTATGCCCACTCGGGGGTAAATACACCATGTTTCGTCTGGCAGTTAAAGATGGCTAAAAGGGTAAATCAGGTGGAGGTGCATGATGGGTTATTATGTCATCTTAAGTACCTTATTACACATGTATATATGTGTGTGTATATGTATGTATATGTGTACCGTATGTATACCTCCATGGTATGTGTATATATGTATATATGCAGTATATGTATGTGTCTTCGTATGTGTGGCCTTAAATATATATATGCTACATGTACGCATACAACAAGGTAGCTACATGAACAATTATTGTACTATTAATATTTCTTTAGTTTTCACTTTACCTTGTTTTGTTTTACTTCCCTCTTCATTTTTGCTTTTATGTTTATGTTTAATTGACGATCTTTGTAATTTATTTTTTAAGTTGTAGTTTAAGTATTGTAGTTTCTGAACGCACCGCGTAAACATCATAGTGAATATTTTTATTACAGTCGGCCTAACTGCATGACAAATATTTAATCGATTACCTTAAAATAATTCATTATTATATTATTTTAATTAATAGTATTATAATTATTGTCATTACTTATAACCGAATTCCATGTGGATACTTTATTAGTAAACAGTAAGGCAGTATAGGGCGTACACGCTCCCGCTGGGAGCATATTTTTAATTAACAATGAAACAATTGCACATCTCACCAATGTTAATTAATGATCTTTACAAAACTACACAACAAACATTGCAATATATCGTAGCATTACATATAAAAGACCGGTACAACAGAATGATGTACTATTTTGTTATTCTTTAATGAGAGTCTGCACACTAAAAAGAGGTGTATTTTGTTCGTCTGCTCATTGAAAAGTTGTAACAGGCCTTTGCAAATACAATACCTAATTAGCTAATTTTTTCTGGTCCAATGGCCACAATCCAAGATTTAATTTAGCTTTAGGTCTTTATAGTGGAAACAAAAGACTAATATTGGTAATAACCTTACAGTGAACTTGTCCGTTGGGTCATAAAATGTAGCCTAAAGTACTGTCCAAACTTCACCGACAATGCATTTTTGAACGTATTTATTTTTAGTGTCAAATTTCACTTTAAGCAGATAAACACATACACCGTAATTAGAAAAAGTAAAACTGTACCTTATTTTCCTTACATTGTTTCGGATTAATTTGGTAGTTTTCCATGCTGAAGTTCGTTTCTAGCATTTGCAGTATCGATTACCGTCTTCTAACGCATAAATCATAAATTGCATTATTTACAAACCTTGGTCCCACCAACCGTTCTTTTGCATGGATGGCGTCTTCTATCTCATTTTGCTTTACCGCCAGCTCCCGTACTCAGAATTTTCTATGTTATTCTTTTTCCCCACCCTCCCACCCACTTAAAATTTATGGCACATGGTTTCTAGGCATCTGTTGCATCCCAATATGTCTTTCTCTTTCTTTACGGAGGTTATCTCCTCGGTCAATTGGAAGAAAGGAAGATTTTTCTGTGTTTTTCTTAATAATCCAGTTATTTCATCCATTAATTTCACCAATAAAATTTCTGTCTATTTTTTTGCAATCTAGCAAGCCAAAGTGTCAATTCAAGCACTGTTATTCTCATTTAACTATTTGTTTATATAGTCCTATATAATACTAAATTTGGCCTAATATACTCACCTATTTTTATTTTCAGTTGGCCTACGTTACTGATTTATACATGATGGAGCTAAAAATAACTTTATTTCTTCTAATGGCTGCAGTAGTTCACGGTCAAACACAATATGAATGGCGTATCGAGGAATACGGCGAGGTAAATATTACATTATGTTGTATTAATGATGAATTATTAACCTGTTAACCAATTTTCATTCATAAAATTTGACACCAACAATTTGGAAATTTATGAAATTATAATATTAATATTACTATCAGTGGCAGATCCAAGGGCGGGAGGGGGGGGGGTTCACGGGGTTCGGAGGACCCCCCCCCCCCACCTCTGTGAAGGAAGGTAACAAAATACTACTGGGTCCTGGCTTATAAAAGACATGATAACCTACCTAGGCATAGGTTGGCAGATCAGACAAACTAGGCTTAGCCCAACTAGCCTGTAATTAAACAAAATTAAAAACACTGTTTTTGGTTCGACGTCGTTAATTTATGGTACGAAAGTGCCTTTTTCAGACCTATCTGTTCATCGATCCGTGGAAGAAAGACTACGTACCCAGCAACTCAATAATTTGTTTTTTTATCTTTTCTGGCAAAGCCACATTTATTCAATAATACATAATACCAATGATATTCAAAATAACAAATCAAATCAACAAATTAATATTCAAAATAAAAAGAAAACAATAGGCCTATATATTAGACCTTTAAGGTTTCTTAACGCTACTCAATAATTGTTGGAATATAATAATATTTTGCCTATGTCTTTGATTCTTTTTCCCTGTGATAGGCCAAAGAATGAGCTAAAATTACATGACCTTTTTTCAAGAGAGGGAAAACGTTGAATTTTGAAGAACTTAAAGGTCATTAAAAGACACCTGAAATCGGGAAAGCTCATTTTCTGGCCATCTATGAATCACAATTTTTCCCGCCGGGGAAGAATGGTCCGGACGCCTTTTCTTTTGTTGTTTTCTCTTGAAACATTTGAATCCTCTTTCAAATTCTCGATCCTCCCCTGATTATTCTTTTATTGGAGTCTCTCAACTCAACTATTTATTTCGAACAGCTGTCCATCTCGTGTTAAGGGGTGGAGATGTGTTTAGTTGTGAGAAAAAATGTTGTTCTGTTACAAGAATCGGACACATTTTTTAATTTATTTTTAATTTAAACTTTATTTTAAGAGGGTATAAAGCGCCATTCCAGCTGAACCCGCGTAGGCCGGCTCTATCTCCAGTACTCCGGCGGCCGTAGGCCATCTCTGAAATTTTGTCTCATTAAGTCACGTTCATCTTTCTCTTTTAATATTGTTTATCTAATTTGCAAGCTACTCATGACCTCTCTTGCCTATAAATGTTTGCAAGGGCTTTGTTATATTTGTTCCCTTGCCCTTTCTCCAATAAAAACAAAATAATAATAATTGAAATGTTAATACCAATGAGAAGCCTAATATATCGTATTCTATAACGCTAGCTTATGCATGTGTGCGCTCAGAATTAATCAGTTATTTTTTTCACTACAGTGCAGTGCGACAGAGTGTGGGTACGGATGGCGGTTTCGCCAGGTAACGTGTGTGATCGTTGGTACTACAGGAGTGCAGAGTGAAATACATTGTGACGGGCAACCGAAGCCTTCCAACTGGCAGCAGTGCTTCGCTGGTGTATGTGGATTAGTGTCAAGTGAAGCACCCTCAAACCCTGTTATATACGACTGGACAGTTGGAGAATGGGGAACGGTAAATTTAAGTCAATTATTATCGCACATTCTTTCTTAAACCGAGAAAAAGCGTATGCCGAAAATTAAGTTATCTAAACTATGTACCTCAATAGGATATGACATGGGTTGCCGCCAGGATTTGCCCGACGGTGGTCCTAGGTCCCCGACGGAGAGTGGGGGTGGGGGCGACGTCCCCGACGGGAGAAAAGTGGGCGTGGTCGGGCGCCGCTCATAATACAACGAACAGTGGTTCAGCGGGTCAATCCCCGAATTTTTTTAAATTTTTTTTTGCAATTTGGGTGTTTCAAATGCTTATTTAATCGATTTTAGAGTCTACTAAATAACATACTGGTATATTATTTTGTTGTGGTTTTTCTCCCTAACTGGGTGGAGG